GCAACACATATATAAGTCTTGAAGTTTGAAAAACTTTGAGTGAAATGATATCACAACTCTGTTGTGAATGAGTCACTAGCTAGAGAGCAACACTTGCAAATTCCTTTTTTATGAAAGATAATGCAAGCATATGATGCCAACAAAGATATTTAAACATACCTCTTAGGAGTCAGTTAAACGATATCTCGTCGTAGCACACTTTCAAATTGACCCATGCTTCAGTTAGGACTTTTAATGGGTTGTAACGTGGCTTGGTTCACAGTTTAAGAAAAAAAGATTTAAGGCTCAAAATTACTTGGTGCCCACCCATTCCCCATGATGTTCTCCATTCCTATGTTCAGTTGAAGAGATACAGGCATTCTTCTCTCGAGAAGAGTTTGCGATGGTTGAGGAACCTCTTAGGCCTCTTGGACACAACAGTCACAAAATTCTAATTCTAGTGTCTGATCACACGACCTTGTTCTTTCGATAAGGATTTTATTGGTAATACCTTTTCTTTCCTTTTAGACTCTTCAATTTCTGTCTTGCTTTCCCTAATATTTTCCTGGACAAATTCTTTTGAATTTCGATTTGGAATTCATGCGGGATGCCCCAACTTTTTCCTAATCGACTTGTTTTCAAGTTGGACTTAGCAGGTCTTTTTGTTTCTTTCTTATTCATAATTTCAATTCCGAATAAGTCTTTGATCTTTACGTTGTTTCTGATTTGTTGGAAGTGACTGACTGTCTGAGTCTTTGGTAGATGAGGGATAGCCATTGTTGTATCGTCATCTGTTGACCTCCTAATGTGAGAGAGATACCCATTGGGATATTGTCAATAGACGCACGTTGTTGTTAGATGAGGGTTAACCATTGTGGTTTTGACTTTCCTCAACCTTTTGATGGATAACCATTGTTAGATCCTTGGATGCGCGCTCTTGATGAGTTCTGAACGTTTGATCAGATTAACTGAAATCTACCCGTCCTAGGGTTAAAATGAGGGTTTTTTCTGAACAGAAAAGAAACTCCTACTTCGAAGGCTCAGAGGGGTTAACGAGGGTCTATCTCCATTATATCTCCGATTTTAAGGAATTGAAATAAGGCATGTACGTCGTCAGCAGGGTCTTACTCAAAATCATACCAACCAGATATTTTTGCGTTTTAGATTGTCGTCATCCTCCTTCCAAATCTTTACCTAAGCATAAGACTTGGAAACTTGGAATCAATATGCAAGTAAAACATTTAAAGAGTGATAACAAATGGATGAATAAAAATGAAACAAACACTTCAAGGCAGACATACTTATTGCATTAAGATTTTCATTCAAAAATAGACAAATTTCTACATACAAGAAATGTTTAAACAAACAAGCAAGAATGCAAATGAAAATGCAGTAAAGAAACCAATGATTGTCATTGTTGAGGATACTTGACTCCGTATGGGTTTCTTCATTTTGGCGACTTTCTGCAGTCTTGATGCTTGAATGGGCGAGAGAATTCCCCTTTCTTATCTGATGTGGACACAACAGTTTCTAGATTGATCCCGTCTTGGACCATGTCTCTGGATGACATATTATCTTCAATCGAATGGCCAGGTGCCCTAGTATAGAAGATTCTTTTAGGAGAGCGAATGAATGCTTTACCAAGATAATTGGTATAAACTGCATCACCAAGCATATAACGCCACAAAAAAATAATACAGTTCATCTTCTATAAGAACAGTAGAGACACCCAGCTGGTAAGAAAGAGTGTGGAAGTTGGCCAAATAGGAATTGGATTTTTGGAAGAGACGCCAGATAGGTGTTGGGATTTATACTTCAACCCCTTTATAGTTTTCAATATCAAAACTGGGTGACCCAGAATACGGGATACCTCTAGCATGTGTATCGCAATCAGAATAGATGTTTTATGGGAGGAGGACCCCAAAGATCAGAGCTGGAAATAACTGAATGTAATACATTGGGCTTGTACCAGCATGCTCACCAAGATTATTCAGTCTTTGCTTAAAAGCTTTTCCCCATGAATTCACTCAGGGAATAAAGATTGGTTGTTGTTGAACAGACCAGGGAATACAAAGCTATTGAGAGTGCCCCTGATTGAATAGTCGGATGCCCCGACATGGCAACCATATCTGTTGTGGAAGTAAGTTTATTGATCATCATCAGAGCTTCTGTGACCTGGTTCATTTGAGTCTTCAATCGATTACCTTCCTTCTCGAAGAATTTCTGACCAGGGGCCAAAGCTTGTATGTACCACACAGAGTTATTCCATAACTAACCTCTGAGCATGTGACGGTAAGAAATCAAATTTGAACTTCTTAGGAGAACACCTGGTCTGAATAAGAATCCCCAATCTTAGAATACCTGTTATAGATGCATGAATATGCATGGGCCGCATGAATGGATGCCATGTCATATTCCGTCATTTCCAAGGAACTTACATGTTTTAATTTTGATTTTACGCAAGTAAAAGATGGGAGAGTTTAGCACAAGACTTACAAATATGATTCCCTCGAAATAACAGAACATGTATGTTAAGTATGTGGTAACCATGTTATGTATACAAAAACATGGGATCAAATGGGATTAAAGTTCCATCATTTCTGAATATTATTGTTGTATTGTTCTGAATCATATGAATATTATCATATCAAAGGTCCGACATAGCTTCTACATATACAAGAACCAAGTACCATGTAGATATCCCATTGTACGGGATCAAGGCTTATGGAACATCGGATACTGTTTAGCCTTTTCTGAATATGCTGGGAATACCAAGATCGAAGGCTCGAATGTACCTCCAAATAAATAAGTGAAGAACTCAGAAAATAAATCTGAGAACTATACGGTCACCAATAGAACATAGTTACCATCTGAGTGAGTCACCAACAGAAATCCAGAACATAATTATTAGAATAAATAACCACCATCTGAACATGAATAACCATCTGAACATAGTCACCATTTGTACCTGTGATAATAATTCTCTCCCCACTCACGGGTAAAGACTAGGTCAAGGTAAGGCAAGGGTAACTCGAAAATCACGGGTTCACTTAAAAGTAAAATCATCGCAACACAAACATGCGTGATGAAAGTTCCTCCAATTGAACCTCATTCGAGCATGGTATATGACATGACTGCACTAGTCGGACCACGTCCTATATTTGTAATGCCCCCACTCTATTCCTAGTGTCCTAGTGCACTATGGCCTAGGTATTGGGGCTTTTATCTCAATAGTAACATCCCAACCCAATCAAGAAGCAGATTCAGTACAGCAGTAATATATGGAAAGTAGTAAAATGCAATGCATACATATGCTCAGGTATATACAAAATGAATAAGCCATAAAGCATATAAATAAACACCCAAAGAGAATAGAACAAGAGCTAGGAGCGACTCCGGGATGGACCAGCATTTGGTCGACCTGATTCCTCAGTGAAGTCGTCAGCTGAAACAACCGGCTGAAAATCATCAAATAATGAAGTCACCATCGAACGTCTTTTATCGCACACAAAGGGAAAGGTAAACATCAAGAAAACCTGATAAGGGAGAAGTCATGGTCTTACGACTGAGAGATCGGGTAAGGGAGTCTGTTATGCGAGGGGAAGGTATTAGCACCCCACACGGCCGTAGTACTCTACGGTATCCACTCTTGTTGTCTATCTTATGGGTGTTTTTAGACTATGCTTACTGCTTACTAATGAGGGAATGTATGCAAAAGAAATGAGAAAATAATGTAGGGAAAATAAAATTTTACTCGCTTGGGCCCTACCACAATGCCTACATATCCTTTTTGAGGAATCAGAGCTACCGTAGTTCGGCTAACATGTTTTTGTTTTTTTATGTTTTTATGGACAATGTTAATTCCGCCTTCTTCCGCAGCTCGACCTTTGGAGACTTATGCGTTGGAACGGAAGTAAATTAATCATGTCCTTACCTGAAAAGGGTTTTTAGAGAAAAGGTGCTCGAGCGCACAAAATGATTTGAGTTGGTTTGTATTTTGTTGCAGATAATGACTAGTTGACCTCAAGAGAGAGATATTAGCCCCCTTTCCACTTATCCATGAAAGGAGTCTTTGAGACTTGAACCACACCTAGGCTTGAGAGGAAGAATAATAAGATCGAGAAGAGACCTGCTTATCATTTCCCATACTAAGAAAAGGCATAATTCTCATCAGTAGTTTTAAAGTGTTTGGAAGTTTGGAAGAAAAAGAAGTTTTTTGTTTTAATGCAAATGCAAAAAGGGAAAGAAAAGTCAAAGGGGGACTAGCCTATTTCTAAACCTAGTGTTATTATGCATCATGGACCTAAAATTAGAATTTCGAGGGAATTCTACCTAATGTTTGCATGCTTGGATTTAAACGCCTAATGTCTAATTTTAGTTCAATTAAATCGAAGATTAAATTTGAACCAAAATCACCTAAGAGATCATGAAAGACTATACAAACAAGTGAAATTAGGCAGCAAGTATCAAAGTATTGCATACAATCCATACCAACAATCGCAAACGAAATATATGGCATAAAAATGAACAAAACTAATGATTACAATTGGCTAAAAGTTAGAAAAAGGGAAGTAAATTCCTAATTAATTTCTAAAAAGTATTATAATATTTTTTACCATTTCGTTATGTATTTTGGTTATTAAAAAAAATCATGAAAGAGAATTAAGAGAATCAGGGGGGGCTAATTGGAATCCAGGAGGTATGCTGATGCAGTTCGCTGAAGGCCCACTGAAAGAGAAGTCTATGAACCTTTTTTTGTTGCAAGCTCCCAAGTGTCCAAAAAAATCAGCTATTATGGATTTTGTGGAGTGCAAGCCAAAATATTATTTCTTTGTGGTTAGCCATACAACATGGGCGCTAAGCCCACTGGGTAGAATCCATGAAATTTTTTTGTAATGAGATCTTGCTGTACAAAAAATGTTAAAGGCCAAGGCAAGGAATTTCGGCCCAACAGCCTATTACCAACAACACCACATTAACATTAGGCTTCCTTTTAGAAAGAAAACAACCGATAATAGTGTAAACCAGAAGAGAAATCTAGGGTAAGAAATACGGCTGTTTGTCTTCCACGAAGGAAGAATCCTTCTCCTCTATCGCTCGCTTCAGCCGCCGACACCAACTTCTCTTCCAATTTAAGTCGAACGCCGGTGTCCTCTATCGCGGCCGTCCTGGGTGATACCCTCTTTACCTTGCTCTCGATTATGTTTCTATTCTTCTTTGATCTCTCCATACGGTCGCCACCATTCGTCCACTGTAACACCATCAAACTCGCCATCTTCTTCCTTCAAAAACCGCCGCCCTCTTTTTACACTTCATCATCTTGCTTCGAAGCAGCTCCGACGGCTTTTTGATGGTGAAGACTACGACGAAACCGGAGATGAATAACATCAGTTATGCATCTCATCCTTTACTCCCTCTCTTACTTATATTTCTTAATGCGGTCAAATGTCGGCGGATTTGTCTGGGTTGTTCGTATTTGTGCTATTGTTGATGCAGATGCATGATGAAGTTAAATACACGATGAAGATGAGGATATCATTGATGAGGCAGCTGACGTAGCTTCAAGTGTTGCAGAAGTGGCAATTCTTAAAGATAAAATGGGGAATGTTGTGTGGTTCTTGATGAAGAAGAGGGTTCAGAAATGGAGAGAGAATTGGAGAAGAGGGAGAGAAAGTTCTTGGTGATTTTTGTAGAAAAATGTTGTCGAGAGAATGAAGATGGAACTCAGAGAGAGAGAGAGAGGGAGATAAAAAGAATCCAAGGTGTTTGAAACTGAAAAAAAATAGTGGAGAGACGAATTATGGATGGAGATGGTTATTTTATAGACAGTTGAAGATTCAAGATCATGGAGAGGAGATTCAATCCTGATGAAGGTGAGTTTTTTGTATTTATGATTTTTCTGATCTTTTAAATTGTTTCGCTACTGAGCTGGAAATTCTCTTCCGCCTCACTTTCTTCTTTTTCTGTTATAACCTGTCCCCCGTCAGAAGTTTGTTAGAGCTTGTTTTTTTACAGTTAGAAATTGGTTAAGGGTAGTTATGATTCTGTTTTTCTGTTGAGAGGTTGTTAGGATTCTATTAGTTTGTTAGGATAGTTAGAATCCTGTTATTAGTTAGTTAGGGAGATGACATTCTGTTAGAAATTGTTTTTGTTAGGAATTATGTTAGAACAATTAGGATAGAAAGTTGGCTGGTTGGTATGGTAGTTAAGAGGTTTGGACAGAAATTGGTTAGCTAGAATTCAGTTGACAGTTTGCAGGGTTGATTTATGTTATGGAGAAAAAAAGTTAATTAGAGGGCTGAAGTCAGTTATAGATGGGCTGGCTTTTTGTTACATGTTGGCCATTAGGAAATTCTGTTTGGGAAATTGGTTAGGGGTTTAGAAGTTGTGGCCTTTGGACTGATTTTATGGTGTATGCAGGGCTGCAGGTTTTCTTTTGGTTTTGAGATTATTTGATGGATTTTTAGTTAATTGTTTACTTTGGATTTTATGAGCTTGCCCGTTTTGTGTTGCGGTTAACTTGTTTTTCGTCTGTTTGTTTCAAAATGGCAGGGATAATTTGGTTTTTGATCACCTGTTCTGAATCTGTTTTCTGTTGGAAATTTCACTTGGTTTTGTTCTTTTAAATGCAGGCTGTGTTTGTAATTTCAGTTTAGAAATTTATTAGGGTTAGAAAAAGGCATTTAGGGATAGGTTTTCATTTGGTGCGCTTGATTTTAACTGAATAGGTTTATGCACGTTTTGGTTATCTCATTGTAAGCTTCAATTGTAAATTGCAGGGCCACGTGAATGTTGGCTAGATTTCTGGTTTTACTGTGATCAATATGCAGGGCTTGAAAATACGGTGCAACTTAGTTCCAATGACAATAGTGGCGCCTCTTGGAAACGTGGAAGCTTGGAGCAAAGATAATTACAAGCATGGAGACAACTTCCATATGTTCTTTAAACATTACATCACTATTTGTAATAGCCTTTAGAATGTATTTTGGATACATCTTGTAATAGACTTTGGAAATGGTTACTTGTAATAGAAACCTCTTGAATATTTAGTCTTTCTTTTGAATGAAATGTATAATGGGCATGAATTCTTGATGATGAACTTTTCCTTGAGAGAAATGATGTCCATTGCCTTTGTTACTTGAATTCTACGAAATTAACATCGATATCATTTCCAAATTTAATCATGAATCAGATCCAAACTTATCCCCTTGCATAGATTGAGTTCATGAAATCACTCGAATGAATGAATTCCCTTCATTTCTTAACGGAAAAGTCAATTTGCCTTTACTAATCCCATTTAAGTTGTATTTCTAAGCAACATATAACAACAAAGAGAACAAAATTGTCTTGATCAAAATCAATCCATAACTTCACCTCTTATGTTATGTTTCATTCTTGTAATTCAATCCACAAAATATATTGACTTGACAAAGTCTTTTCAAATGGTTGCCTCAACACACTGCCTTGAAGACAAATACATCATGAAGTATAAGAAACTAAGCCCTTAAGTCCAGTTCTCCAATTGATGAACCAACGAACTTGAGCAACAAACTGAAATCCTAATCTCCTTGCCATGAACGCACACTAATGAGGAGGCGATTTAATATGCTGATGAAAAAACCTTCTTTTGTAACAACCTCTAATGAAGCCTTGATGAAACCCCAAACACTTGATGCACTTGAGAAATCTGGACGAAGACGCTTCATGAACTTTGTTACTTTAGGGTAAAAACCCCTCAATGATCATGAACACAAACCCTAGCTCCACAAATCCTGATTGATGATAAAACCAGTTGATTCAAGATTGAATGAAGACGAGAACCTTAAATCCATACAACAACCCTAATTCTTCAACATCCTTGATCATATGCCACGTTTTATTGATTAATGAATGAATGACGTATTGGATGACCTAACGGGAGTTATGTACATGAGAAAAGTGCAAAAATGCGTAAGCCAGATAAAAGTAAAAGGGTAGGACAAATTTGGGGTATTACACCTAGGGGCACGTGTCTTTATTAATTCTTTTCTTTTGTTCCTCTGCATGTAGAGGGGTACATATTTATTTCTTATTCCTTAACGCTCTTGTGCATGCTAATTGGTTAATTATTTTAGTTTAACATTCTCAGTATAATAATTAGAGTTATTAAGGTAATATATCCCTAAATGATTAATGAATTACTAGTAAATATAAGTTAGTAGCAGGAGAGATAATAGAATTAATGATTAGCAGAAAAATATTAATAAGGTTATCAGTAGAAATAATTTAGTAGAACTTTCATTAGTAGTATTAGTAATAGATTAACAGAAGAACAAATTAGTAGCTAGTAACAAAGATGAAATAATTAATAAGTGACAAGCAGTTATCCGTGTGGAATTGGAAATAGTAATATAAAACCAAAAATATTAGTATTTTAACAGAAAACTATTCATCTGGATATAGTCGAATTGCCCGAATAATTATGTGGGACGTTGTAGCATATTTTGGTTAATACAGTGTATTGCATACTTTGTTATAATTTCAGAATTGACAAATGATGATAAATTTTATTGAGATGCCTATAATTATTGGAAAATATCAAGTGGTAGGCTTATTGCCAATGCTGATATTGTTGTTGAGTTGTTGTTGAATGGTTGCTGTCATTGTGTAGTTATCATTGTTGTTGTTTTTTCTTTTGATCATGTTGTCGCATACATAGCATGTCAAGTTGGGAGCTCATGCTCGGTAAGTTGGCCTGGATTTACATATATAAAGTTGAAGGCTTATGCCTTGTTGATGCCTCTATTAATTGGCAGATTATTAAGTTGGGAGTTTTTCTCTGTTGGTACCACATGCATGTTCATAAAAACAAGTTGCATTCATGTTGCATCCTGAGTTGTTGTGTGGATGAATTGATCATGTTAAATGTTGTTAAAGAGCCGCGAAGTGGTGATTTTGTATGAATTGATTCTAATATATTATTAATTATGCATTCTATTATATTGTTCGATATCTCACCCCTTATGTTTGAATGTTACCCCTATGTTGGTAACGTGGAGGTAACCCAGAGTGAAGGTTGTTTACCTTCAGTAGTTCGAGTCGGTGTCGTTGCTCTGATACGTAAAACTCAAGGAGATGAACGATTTTTGCTTTATTGTTGATTTTACTTCTGTTGCTGAATTTTAATTTGATTTACTAAGTACTTTGTTGTTTCTAAAGTTGTTTCGGTCGAACAAAGATGTTATGACATTGAGTTGAAATTGTGATTTTGCTGCTTAACTATAAAAGTTGTTTTATTTTAAAGACTAAATTATGTGGTTAACGGTTCATCTGAGTTTAAGTGTTATGTATTTATTTTATATGCGATTAGATGTCGTTGTTATAAGTTGTAAGTGTAGCATCCTATTTGTATATCGAAATTTTGTAACTCTGATTTTAATAATATTTTCCGAGTAGAAATGGGGTGTTACAGATCGCGCCTGTAAGTACGAAGTGCGCCTAAGAGGGGGGTGAATTAGGTATTTTAAAATTTTCTGGTTTTAGTGATGATGGATATTATTTTTCTGGTTTATGGTGAGTTTATGAAAGAGTAAAATGCAGAAAAATAAAGAGACACAAGCGATATATCATGGTTCCCCTCACAGTCTGAGAGTACTCCAGTCCCCTTTCAACATGAAAGAGATTTCCTTATAGTTGGCAAACTTAAACAAGAACTACCAAGAACAAAACTTAAACAAGAACTACCAAGAACAATCCTCTTGGACCAAGAACAATCCTCTTGGATTTTCACTATGTCAACAATGAGAACAATCCTCTCAAAGTGACCTTACTTGTATCCAACAATCCTGAAAAAACAAGATTACAAAACCACTTGAATTTATTTTCAATAATCCTAAAAAATAAGAAAGTGTATAGCAATATTTCATTGATAGAGTTTGTAGTGCAATAATCACTTTGAGTGATTTTATCAATGACTTGATCTTATCTTCCAATAATAATAATATACAATAACTCAAGACTATAGAATGCTCAAAGTTTTCTGTTTAACAATATATGAAAATATGCAGAAAAACTTTGTGTATGAAAGTGAAGAGAAAGCTTGAGTTTTGATATTTTAAAATTCAGAAACTATTGATTGGAAGAGGTACAAAATGATTTGGAAAATTCAGTATTTATATGTTCATAGCACCTCTTTGAAACAACATAAATTTATGAAAATGAATCATGAACAATTGCCAAGATTCAATGAAAAGTTTCCATAAAGTGGTGTTATGAAAAGGTATGTTCAAAGCTGCTGATTTTCAAAAACGTTCAGCATGTAATCGATTGCACCCTTGTGTAAATAGATTGCACGAGTTTTAACAGCTAAAAA